CCCCTCCTCCGCGGGCCCCACCTCTCTCTCCGCGTCCGGCACCTCCCGCGGCGCGGCCGGCCCCACCCGGCTGTCCGCTCCCCCATCCCTCTTCCCACTCCCTGGTGGACGTGGCTGTTCCAGGCGGCTCCGCGCTGGAACCGCAGGGAGCGCCACAGGGAGCGCCAACCCTCTGCGCGCTGTGAGGGGGCTCCTGTCCCAAGGATGCAAACCGACCGCAGGGTGTGGATGGGCCGTAAGAGCCTCCCCTCTCCGGTTGCTCGCTCCCGCCCCCAGCCCTCACCTCCCCGCGATCTCGGTCCCACTGGAGAGTTTGCGACGGCTAAGTCGGCCTCGAGGACTCGCAGAAGACCACGGGGGTAGTTCAAAGGGGAAATAGGAAAACAGTTGTCAGCACACAAGATCGGGCTACAGGGAAAACGTGGGCTCGCTAGTTGCCTATTACGGGATTCTTGTCTTTTTATACTGGGAAGCCAAGTAATGCTCTTGGAAGTCCACGAAAGGCCTGGAGTCAGCCTCCCCATTTCTCTGGTCGGTAAGTGGGTTGAGGAAATCCCAGTCCTGTTGTCTCGCCTCACCTCCCAAACACTGAAGCTTGCAACTTCGCGTCTCCTGGTGGTTGGAAAGTTTGGCGCCTCTTGGCTGCTGCCCAACAGATTCACCGCCAGGTCTTTGTCCTTGGTGGGAACTCCAAGCAGGAGTGGGCGACAGTTCCCTTCCCAGGAGGGAGCAGCCCCGCACACTGGGCCCAAGACCCCGCAAAGGAGCCTGCAGGTATTCCCCTGTTCCACTTGTTTCTGGCGCCACGAAGGATACTGGTAACATTCCACCACCTCCACAACCTTCTAGTGCAAGTCGATCGCCACCTGCTCTGTGTAACTTTCGCACAGTTATGTTGCTTCCTCTGTGACTGAGAGCATCAGTCATGTACAAGCAGACAGATCGGAAAGGAAACCCATGAGGACAGTATAAGGAATGATAAAATTAACATCCTTGGGCGTCTGTCCATGGCTCCTTTAGGAACCTTTAGTTAAGCATTGCTTTATGCTTCTTACATCCTTTTTCTCTTAAGCCATTGTTTCTTTTCTTCACCTCATCATTTTTATAAGTAGCAAGAATCCAACTTCCTCCCTCGCTCCAGATTAACGTCGTGCTGACTGGTGTAGGGAGAGAGACTGGATTCAGAAGAACATCCATATTTACGGGTCCTGCAAGGCACAATATAAAAGTAGGAAGTAGAAAATAAGTTCTTCTCTTAATAAAGGTCTTTATAATAAAATTTAAACAAGGTTTTGTGGTTTGTAACATCAGTGTTCAAAGTTTCAGTTGTAGATGCTAAAATGTGCTTATGTGTATTTTTTTTTCTTCCACGACAAAAAAAAAAAACACAAAAAACAAAAGTTTAGGTTTAAATGAAACATTTCTATGATTAAATTTCTGTCATCACTCCAGCATTTATTACCGACATATTACATCTCTTCAAAATTCGATTTTCAAAAACTTCCTTAGAATCCATAATTGATTTCTATTTGATGGTCCTGTGAACATCAGGAAGATGAAATGGATCAGAGTGGGAACAATCCTGTTATCAACATCTTAACACGTGAGGGAGATAATGACATTTCCACTTCGCTCCACAGACTTACCACTTTCCTCTGTCTTGAGGGAAAATCCAGGTGCAATGTGTAGAGTCAATTATATTTGTGTGTGGCATGGTGTGATGGGGATGTGGGCTTTTGCTAAGAAAAGCTCCTTGCTCCAGTCACTCATACATGCAGAGTAGACCATGAAGGTCAGTGGGAACGGAAATGGAGTTAATGATCAGTCGTGCCTATGTGATTAAGTCTGCACAGAAATCCCAAAGTGTAGGGTTCAGAGAAATTCCAGGTTGATGAAGAGTGGAGGTGCTGGGAGAGTGGGGGGCCCAGAGAGGGAGCTCTTCCTTCCGCAAAGCTTGCCCTGTGCATCTCTTCCATCTGTGTCCTTTTATTCCACCCCTTTATAATTAACTGGTCAACAGGAAGTGAACTGTTCTCCTGAGTTCTGTGAGCTGCTGCAGCAAATTAATCAAAAAACTCAACTCCCATCACTCATACATGAAGAGTAAACCATGAGGGTCATCTCAGTGTAATCAGAAAGAGTACTCCCTAACGCTCCACCCAAGGCCTGTCGTGTACCGAATGAGTGTACTTCTACCAAGAAAATCTTGGGGAAATTTGAATAGCTAAACCTCTAAATAAATCTTACTAATTTGGAAGATAAAGTAGCAGAGAGTCATTATATTACTTTTCAATTTCTGGGACATTTGACTCTGCCATAGCTAAGTGTATTCATTCATTTGTCCATTTCATTCATACATCTGTACATGATTCAACAAAGCCACAGAGCTGAGAAAAGCACTATGTTGTATGTTGTGTGTAGCTTGACATATAAAAACAAATTACTTCAAACAGTTTCTTTCGATGAGTTCAGAATCTTCTCCAGCAGTATTTCCAACCTTGTTTGGTCGGGGAGTCACCTTAGAAGCTTTGAAAAATACTTGTGCCTGGGGTCTTCCTGCACAGAATCCAATTCGGTTCATTTAGGGTAGGGTTTGGACACAGGACTTTTTAAAAGCTCTTCAGTGGTTTTAACTTTCAGGAAAGATTGAGAGCAATTGGTCTCAAAGGAAAGAGAAGACGGGCAGAGAAGGAATGTTAAAAGCACGAAATTTTAGTACATAAGTTTCACTGGCTGCATTTTCCTTGGGTTTGAAACTCACAAGGGGACACTGAGGACCACTCCCAGGATACCATCCCTATCCTTTTAGACACTGAGGTGACAGTTTACTCAGTTACTCTAATTAAACATGAACGAATTATCATATAGGTCCAAATTACAATCTGGTCATCTGAACTAGGAACTTTATATACTCTCATTACCAGAAAATGTGTGTCTATGAACAAAACATCTCCTTACTAGATTGATGTCATAATGTGGAGAGCTACAGTTCATGAAATGACTACTCTGTGCTAGATCTGGCCCTAATTTCTTTACATTTAATTTCACTGTCTCAATTAGTTTTACAAATTACGTTGGAAACCCTAACCAGTAATTACAAACCACACTTAGTGTTTGATTTTTTTCCGTGAACATCACCCATCTTCACGTTAATTATGGTTTCAGAAATTGCAGTTTTCAAATTTGCAGTTGGTTTCATTGACCACATTTTCTATTTACTGATTCTTTGTGCTAGGTAGGTAAGTCCCAAATCTAATAGTAAGGTCTCCAAATTACATACAGAATGTGTCACTTTAGGGAAAACATCGCCGAGACAGTCCTTTCTATGATTTGTGAGAGTCTAATAAAAATCATTCAGCAAAAAAGTGGCACTTCCTCAGGGAAGTTTTCTGTTAGGTTTTGGAGTTAGGCTGTCTCTAAGGGCAGAATCCCGCTATGTATGGACTATGAAAATAAAACATCTTGTGGGGATTTATTTTGAAGCACCAAATAGTAAAACTAAAATCAAAGTAGCCATATTTTATAACTAAATTAATATTCAGTCTTTCACTGGCGTCTTAATTAAGGGTGAGGTTTCCAGTAAAGCTGATGTCTCCATCTCTCTGGTAGAAGAAAAGCCTCATTCTTTTTTAAATACCATTCATTCGGACCTCACGTGGGCCACCTTATATTTTAAGGCATCCTGTGACGCACATTTTTAGAGGCTGACTTTCCTAACAAGTTTATGGGGTGAAGTAGCTGTGTTTGTTTCCTTAGAAGCCGAGGAAAGTCCTACAACCCTGAGTCCTCCACGGTCTAAAGGTTGAAAACACATCGTGAGTGGTTTGGCTGGGAAATGGTTTCATTTTCTCAGCTTGCCATTGAGAATCTACGTTGTCCAGAGTTACTCAGTATTTGACTAAAGTCATTTAAATGTAGACTGCAGCGGCATGCAGTACATAACATAACACCACGGCAGAACACAGAGTGCACCGAGGTTTATTTCCTGGGGAGACTCGTGAGAAATGACTGGATTGTAAGTCTTTCAACCAGAAAATAAAGGATTTCAGAATGATGAGGAAAGTTTGAAGGAAAATGATATAGGGCCCACAGATACCTCACATGGTACTAAATGACTCATAAAATGCAGCAGTTTTTACATAATATGGGACATGGGCCGCGCTTGTACATCTTACCGTGGGGGGGTACTGTACTTTGATCTTCCACAATACACAACATTTGTGGCATAATAGCTGTAATAGGACTATTCAGCTGCTTTACACGGCAATAATCCAGCCCTCTCTCATCAGGATAAACTGTGAGGACAAATCCTTTCAAAATCAGAATTAGTTCCTCGTAGAAGAGGGAGGCTACAATTATCCCTTAAATAGGAGCAGCTGCAACATGGTAGCGGCCCGGAGCGCGGCAGTGAAGTGTTTTTCCAATGCAATTAAATGGATTTTTTTTTAATGCAAACTAATGTTCTCTAAAAAGTCAACTATCAGGTGAGTAGGTGTGGAATGGCTGAGATGAAAGGAGCAACCATTTTGCTTACGTGAGTTAATATTGCTGCCTTAGTGACTGATATTTTGGTGAAAATGGGTAATCAGGGCACATCCTCTCCCGTGAAGTGGGCCCAAAGGGGAGCCAGAGTGGTACAAAGGAAAGATGATTCTGGGTCCCTCGTACCCTCTGTGTCTTATTCTGAAATGTGTTCATGGTTATGTTTTGTCATTGTTGCTGTTCAA